GATACCTCATAAGCCAGATTTTCTTTGGCATATCTCCTACACTTGCTTATTCCCTACTCGCTTCTTGAATTGGTAAGTTCAATGACCTTTCTGCATCTTCGTGATCAGTTTCGCTGAGTTCCGCTTGTCCCCCACTCGTTTCTGCTATTGATCCATCTGGTGGTTCAATCCGTCCACCACACACTCTTGACATTGTTAAATCCAGCGGTTCTGTTTGTGGTTCCTCAAACATATGAAATTATGAACCTTATGCTGCGCTAAAATTTTAATATGTTTTAATATATACATTAATTACAGATCATACAATAATAATAGAATTTGATAATATCACTGTATCATTTTTAATTTTTTTTGGAATTTATTTTTCTTTTTTCTTCCCTCAAAGGAAAAGCAGTGAATATTTTTCCGAGGGAAAGAATGATTAAATCGTTTTAGGTACGAAATGATAAAACCAAAAGAAGTTTAATGCTTGATACCGGAAATATTTTTCTTTCTGGTAATTTAATTGTTTCCAAACCGATGGACGTTGCAGTATTGTCCAATAAGATTTAAGATCACAAAAATTCTTTTGCGCAGAGGGTAATGCACATTCTGTCACTGGACAGTTTTGGACAGCAAATATCACTTTTCGTGAAGTTGTATGATTTCAATAGGGCTTAACTTATGGAAAAAAGTATTTAGGTACTTGTAAAATCGAAAATTGAGCGAACAGGCTACAGTAAACAACCGAAAACATTAAAGTATTCATGCATAAGCGATGGGTTGTAATCAAAAGGTATTTGCCATTTTTGATCAGTGTGTTAACCGACAAACTCGTTGCTGTCAAAAATCACTGAACATGTTGACCACTGGCAAACACACCTAGAAATTTTCATCCAGATATGTCGTGTTAATGCAAACCATCCACAAATCTAGATTGGAGAAAATTTAAAAATTTTAGGGTTTGGGAATTATTCGCAAAAATTCTAGGTTTGAAATAAATTCGCGAAAATTACTTCACTTTTCTGCCAAATGTAATTGCGAATATTTGGACATGAAAAATGCAAACATTTGAATGCAATTTAAGGTAATGAACGAATTTCTAAGTGAATTTCTAAGAAAAAATAAATTTCTAAGTTACAAATTATGCTAAAGCTTTTTCTATATACGGTTGAGTGTTGGCAATGTACACTATCGATTAGTTCTGATCTTACATGTACAAAACACTTTTTTTTTGATATTGCAATTATTTGAAGAATAAAAATGTATACATTCTAGGGACGATTTTTTTCACTAGTTTTATTTGTCATTTATGAACACCATCAATCAGATATGAGTGATCCTTCAACAAGTCAAACGTTTTCCTTTTTGCATTGATAAACATTTGAATTAAAAAATATTTGCATTTATATTCATTTGAATAATAGAATGATAGTAGAATAGCAGAATGATCATCACTTAATATTGTTGTCATCGATTACTGAATGAACTTAACGCTATTATCATCACTTAATATTGTTGTTATCGATTACTGAATAAACTTAACATTATTATCATCATTCAATATTGTTATCACCAATGATTGATTAAATCTTCGCATTATTCTTCTATAATTTTATCGCCTTTTGTCATCACCGTTTGTTTGATATCAGAAATTTTATTTCATATATATCCTTCCTATCATTTTAATATTTGTATCGCCAAGTTAAATATTAGAGGATAAATATTATAAACAATTTCGTTGC